GCACTGAGTGGGTTCTCTGCAACTTTGGTCATGATTCCTGCAGAAAAAACCTGCAAAAACTGGAGAATATTATGTTCTAAGAAACAAGTAAAGAGAAAAAAAACAGTATGTAAATGATAGTTCTTCGTTCTTACATTGGCAGATGACAGGGATAGATACAAGAAGAGGAAGAAAAGGACAGCCATGTTTGTTTGTTTGTTATCTGAGAAAATTCTCTAGGGAAATGAAAATGAAGAGGAGAAAATTCTCTAGAATGTAGTAGAGGGGTGATGAACGGAATGTTAAATGTTAACGGAAATGTTAAGAGAAGGGTTGATTTGCCACTGCAGGGGAGTTGAGGGGCTGATTTGCGCATGAAGTGGGTTGAGGGGGTGATTTGCCACCAGTTGTTGAGTTCAGGGGCTGATCTGCACCTTTTGCCAAAAACAAAACTCCAAACACGGTTGCTGAATAGCCAAGCAGCGGCGGCAGCAGCAGGAGGTGGAGGAGGAGCAGAGATGCAGATCTTTGTGAAAACCCTAACGGGGAAGGCGATCACACTCGAGGTCGAGAGCAGCGACACCATCGACAATGTCAAAGCTAAGATTCAGGTTCTTTTTCTTTTCAATTTTTCTTTCTCATCTTCGCCAATAATCCGATTGATTTTGTCTTTCGCATCTTTTGATTCTGTTTGTTTCGATGGAAAATTTTTGTTTCTATTTCTCAGATTCGTCCAATTGTTTGTCTATACAACCGCTGGATATGTATGTTTGTGTTGTTTTTGCTGCGTTTGTTTCAATCTTATTATCATCTGTGTTGTTAGTCGATTTTCTGTTTGGTTGATTGGAAAACTGAGGAAAGAAAAGGAAAGATGAAGGAGTTTGAAGTTATGAACTACCTCAGTGATTTTTCATTGTGAGACAAATAAACTAAACTAATTTTATCAAGCTGGATCAGGCTTTTTGGAGTTTTTGATTATAGAACACTAGAGCTTGAGGAGTTTGGTCTTGCAGTCTGCAATATTGCTTCATGCAATTAAATCTTTTTCATGCTTATTTGTCTAGGACAAGGGAGGTATCCCTCCTGATCAGCAGAGATTGATTTTTGCTGGAAAACAACTTGAGGATGGCAGGACTCTTGCGGATTATAACATCCAAAAGGAGTCAACACTTCACCTGGTTTTGAGGCTTAGAGGAGGAACCATGATCAAGGTGAAGACACTTACTGGGAAGGAAATTGAGATTAACATTGCGCCAACTGATACCATTGATAGGATCAAGCAGCGTGTTGAAGAGAAAGAAGGAATTCCTCGCGTGGAGCAAAGGTAAGATTTGACTTGTTCAACTATCCTATCCCTCTCCCACAGTATTAAGTATTAAATCATCAGTAATAATACCAACGAGGGATTGGATCAAGTGGTAAGCGGTTTGTTCCAGCTTAAGCAAGGTTTCGAGTTTGAGACCTTGTGTATGCAGCAGCCTTCGTTGGGAGACTCACCCACTATTTTCAGGTGCGCAACCCGGGTCGGATCCAGATTAGTCGGGGCGAAGCCCCGGATACCGGGCGAGAAACCCAAAAAAAAAAAAATCATCAGTAATAATATTTTTCTATAACAATAGTTGAGTGGCGGCTTTGAACTCTGGACTTGACTCTTGCTTCAGCAGCATTGGGTCAAGCATGCAGGATTTACCACCTCAACTGATTGAGGGTTTCCTTTTTGTATAAAAGATTTTTTCTTTTAAAAAAAAGAAGAAGAAAAATGAAACTTGGATTGATTTTTTCAGTTATGCATTCTGTTTCACGCTCAAGTTCTTTGCTGACAGATTTGATTTTCCTATGATTTATTTCATTGCTTTGATAACACTGGTTGCAGGCTGAGCTATGCTGGCAAGAAGCTTGCCGATGACAAGACAGCTCGTGACTACAACATTGAAGGAGGCTCTGTGCTTCAGCTTGTGCTTGCAGGGAGAGGTGGGAATATTTAGATAGTGCATCAACAAAAATATTACAACTATCTACATATTTTTCATTAAACTGGATGACTCTGCATCTTATGTGTGGATGACTGAAGAGAAACATGGTTTGACTATATTCTCCAGACTTGTTATGAATATACTCTTGTTATCAGTGCCTCTTTGATCAAATATCTGCAACTCATATTGTGGCTTCAATATGTCTTATATTTGCTAAATATACTGTTGTCATTGCCATGTGTTTGTTTGTTTGTTACTATTTAGGGTGAAAGTTGCCATTTCAGCCCCATTTTTTTATCCATAGAGAGACATCAGAAGAAGAAAAAGCAAAACCCCAACTTATGTTGTGGTTTTGTTTGATAAATAATAAAATATATTATTATATTACTGTGAGTGGCAATCGAAACTCATCTGCTTAGCATAATATTTTAAACAAAAGAATGATGAGCAGCAATTGGATGTTGAATGTTAGATGGTACTGAATGCAGGTGGGCCTGCAGTTGCATACATGCAGGCCTTAGGCCTTCAAGGGAGCAAAAATAAGTATGGTGTTGCTGGGCTTGGGTTTTCACTTTTTGTTGGGGCCACTGTTCAATTCAATCGGCAAGGCCCAAAAGCAGAGAACCTAAATCAAGAATTCTCAGTGGGTATGGTTTTCTTGATTTCATGCGTTTGGGTTACACTGTTTTTTATTCCCAAAATTGTTGAGCCTCTTAGGTTTTTCCTTCTTTTTTTTCTTTTCTTTTTTTTTTTTTTCTATGTTTTATGCCTCTAAATGTCCATGTAATTCATCCTTATATAAGTTTCCTCTTACTTGCCATTCCAACCATTTCTTTTCACTCCTATAAAAAAATGGAGATTCTTGAATAAGTGTTTTTTTTTTTTTTACTATTTGATAAAATGGGTTAATTATACAAGAGAAGGTAAATCTCTTCCACCACCACCCCTTAAGTAACTTTGCCAAATGAGTTCTTTAATAATTTAAATTATACTTTTACCATAAGGTGAGTCAAGGATTTCAACTATCTTGCTATTTTTGTCGTTGCTAGGGATAATAATATCTGATTCTCCAAAGAACAAAAGCATTATGCCACTAAACTTTGCCCTAATTAATTTCCAGTAACAATGATAACATATTTAAAATTACCATCTTCATAAGGGGAAATTGGGAATATATGTTTTAATTAGGAATGATTCGGTCATTTCCTTTGAATATCAGTGGCATGAATTAGTCTACATTTTCAACTACAACTAACGATGTATTGATGACAAATGCAATTTAAAAATTACATCCATTTAGTCATAGATAAACCCCAACCTTGTCAAACTAAAACTCTTCACAAGTAAAATCCAAGCACCCGTGTACGTGCTACATACCCGTGCGCACAAGGGGCAAAAAAAAGAAAAAAAAAGAAAAGAAAAAACCTATGCTTAGTGTCAAACAAGTACATATGAACTGGTTTTCGACTTTATGACATGCCATGTGGCGCCATTCTACTCACCCGACGCAAGCCACACATCACCCATATGTATCATATAACCTGAATTTTTCCTAAATTTTTCCTACCCTTTCCCTATCATTAGACTTGTTGGAGTTTGGTAGTTGTTTGAACAGCTTCACAATCCAACACTGTTAAAGTTTTCAGTCGCTTCTACATCTGAAAAATTTTGAGGGTGTTTTTTCGAAAAAACACTCCGACGCTCAAGTCAGCAATACTCAATATTCTAGAGAGATATTCTCTTAAAGAATAATTGGAGAGAGAGACGTAGAAAAGTTAATATCTTACATGGAGGTAGTTGGGAGGTATTTATAGCTCCAAATGTTAACATGAATCTGTATGTATAAGTACCTCATTGGTGCACGTGGGTGTGCTTGTACTTGCTATACTGGTGCTCTATTCTCTTGGACTAATGGGCATCAGCTTAGGCCCATTATGTACAGCCCAAGTTGAATGTTGGGCCTATTTCAACAGTAGTCATGAAAAAGCCTTTGATGGTTAGTGAGTCTCTACTAACCCGTGAGAAAGATGATGAGATTAAGTATGCAGAATGGTAAAGGAAGCAGGCCAAGTGAATGTTAGCTTCCCTAACAAAAGAATTGAAAACGGCTTTATGGGGTTTAATAAAAGCATTTTGTCTTTTTCTAATGGTTGGACTTCTTAGAATTTGCATGGGGAAGTGGGGTACGTGTTTAGGGTTTGGCATGATTAAATTTTTACAAAAACAATATATAATTCAAAGTTTTGAAGTAATTTTTATTATGTTCAAAAGGCACTAATTCTCCACCAGTTGCTGAAGAAGATAAATATACTATATGGTCATGGTCATACGATGATAGAAAATAAAAAAAAATAAAAAAAGAAGAAGAAATGTTTATCAAACGAGTGGATATATATATATTAATATATTTGATAATGAATTATACAATAAAAAATAATAATTATTTTTTATTTTTAAATCTTTTTCCATCTAATTCAAAACTTGAACTTGATATTTTCAATTTAAAACTTCAAACTCTTAATTGTTAAACCACC